ATTCTAAATACTAAAGCTAAGTACTGTAGAAGGCTTAATGGGTGTCACGGTATCGATACATAAGATAAATAGCGAGACCCACCCTAATCCAAATATGGATTAGCGTAGAATACTATATGTACCTCCAAGTCTGAAGCCGAGGCGAGCGTCTGGCCGTCGGGCGAGAAGGCTACGGCCGTGACCCAGCCGCTGTGGCCCTCAAGCGTCTGCAGGTGGGCATCCCAGTCTGTTTTCCTGCCTGAACTATTTTTAATGAACGGCAACCTATTCTTCCATAGCGCACTCCTAACTTTGCTTGTTGTTGGGCTGAATGTGAGTCTCCTTTCGTCGATGCAGCTTGGATAGGAAGCCTCGACAGCGGAGGGAAACTTGCGACATACTTACACCAAGCCAATGTCCTCCAGGCTTTGGATGGTATCCAACAAATCAGAAATGGTCTGCACCCCGATGTGTCCATGCTTTTGGGTGGCTTAGATTCCATTTTTGCTCGAACTTTTACGACTCACGATGACTGTATGGAATGTCGAGCGCTGGCATTGGATCTTCGCACTTGCCGTTTGATCGAGCTGCTAGTAGCCCAAACAGAACGAAAGGATGTGGAATCGGATTATGTTGATGTATTCTGCAAGGATGAAAATATCACCGATCTTGCCAAGGTCTTAACGTGTGGTCCGTATAAGAATTTAACCCTGAGAGAAAACAGCGAGGAAGATAATGAGGCGATATCGAAGAGAAGCCGATGCTCTTCTCGGTTGGATACCTTGGAACGGATGCACCACCAATATTCCACGATCAAAGTCCTAAAAAACCTGGAAAAGCGCCTTCTTGAAAGAGACGCTGCCTTGTACCAGCCTGAACAACCTGCCGGTGTAGTTACCGGCCAACAGGAAGGGGCCAACGCTGCCTGGCTCGATGCTGGGCCTAACCGTAATCTAAGAAGTATATGGTGAGTATGTGCGGGTCCTTCCTTCTATGTTCCGTCCGCATCCTGAGGTTTTACCCCTCAGAAAGGACTTTCAGTGTGCTGCACAATCCAAATATCATCCCGCGAGAGTACATTCTACTCTGAGGCCTACAACACCTGTTGACAGTTTAAAACCAAGTGACCGTGTGCTGAATACGCCTGAGCAATACGCAGGAGCTCTACGCCCAACTATCACTGCAGATGGCAGAATTTTGTTCTGGAGAATCGACACAAACCTCGGCGTGGAGAGACGCTTTACTTGTGCCTACCCGACCCATTCCTGCGAGAAGCAATACACAAAGTTGGGGGGGGGGGTTGATTTCACATTATCGTACCTCGTGAGTTAAGCTCGGCATGACTTGGTTCATTACCTTACTGACAAAATGCTACCAGTCATTTCGGAGAAAAGTGTGAGCCTGTTTGCCCTCTTTGCGGCAGCAAGTTTTTAACTTCTGATAATTTGAGTTATCATTTCACAAGAAAAGCTGTGATGGAAGGTAGCGAAGGATTTACTTTGTGGTGTATGGGACCAAGACGGAACAGAGCAAGATAGAACTTTTTAGATCGCGGTCTCAGGTGCTTTCTGCTACACCTCTAACCTCCATACGGTGGCTGCATAGCTAACTGTGGTCCATCTGCTTTCGTGTTCAAAGTTCCATTTTCCGAAGTAAAGATGCGTCAAGCACTTACGCACATTCAACCGCCGATGCAGACAATGGCCAGAATAAAAATGCGGCACATTAGGCCAGGGCAACATATGAATGTTTCAGCTTCAGGTTAATCTTAGTTCTCCCACGGACTGCCTATCTTTGTGGCTCCGTTATGGCTATCTTTCTGTATGATAAGCCATAGTACAGATACCATCGCGATGGTTTACAGTGCATGCTATGAACAGTCATGTAAAGATTCCCTAGTGACGCCACTGGCAAATGGAGGAGTATGGTGTTTCGTGAAGGCGGTTGGACCTTTGACGCAAATTGGCTTAACATACTGATCATTGAACAGTGGTAAAAGTTATAGTGCGGTGTCAACAAAAGCAATGTCTACGAAAGTCGTTTCATCCGAGTTAGGCTACCCTACGACAATCACGAATCCGTACTGGATCGTGCTCGGCAAACACCTCACCATTGCTTGCACCTTGTAGAGTTATGAATTGGCAGTGGGTACGTATAAAGAGCGCGGCTATACCTGACTGAGTTGTGAGCTAACTCATGAAATACGGTTTGAGTCAACTTGATTTACAGTATAACTTAGGGCAAAGGTAACTAACTACTGGCTGTTTGGTGCCACATTTTATCACAGGGGTCGAGAAGTGGGAGTAAAATAAACCAATAACATGCCAGGATGTGGGTTATGAGTTAATGAGTTACTCATGAGCTTCTGATCGCAACTCAGACTCAACCCACGTGAGTTTTTTGAGTTTGAGTCACGACCTAACTCATGAGTTAACTCAAACGCCCAGGCATGACAGAATGGCTCGCACCAAACAGACTGCCCACAAGTCCACTGGTGGCAAAGATCCCCTTCCAGCGTCTGGTAACTGCCAAACAAGCGAATTTACGCGTTGACCTATCAGCGCTAATGCATCGCAGGTCCGTGAAATCGCCCAGGACTTCAAATGTAACGGTCCAAGCGAGTATATTGACAACTCGCTAGGCGACTACTACGAGTATCCGAATCTGGGAAAAGGAAGAGAAAGGAAGAGAAAGGAAGAGAAGAAAAGGGGAGCTCGAGGAGCTCTTGAGCTCATCCTCGGCTTCCCGCTGTTAATCTCGCTGAGATCGATGCCTCAGTTTTCCAATCGTCGTCCTCACTTTGCGGTTCGCCGCACTGTCAGATCTGGTCCTCTTTAACAAAATATCAAGGATTACGGGTTACGAGCGGAGCATGATATTATTGTGGCGAGCCTAATACATACTGTCTATTGATTCCCTTGAGACGGTCGAATGATGCTATGTATAGTATGATACAAAACTGTTGCACTCATAAGTTTTCAGTTGCAATAACCCTCATACTTGCCAAAGTCAAGCCTTATGCTCTGCGCACTTTTTTTGAGCAACTGAACATATGATGAACCAAAGGCGGACTGGGCGAACATAAATCCAGTAACCTGTTCCGCTTTCAGCGAACGTTATCCTTCTCATTATGATACTGTTCATTGACCAACCCAATTATTCTTTCCTCCAGCTCGCGTTTGATCCTGCGTTTTGATTCCTCGTCGCGACAAACCGTGAGGGACCAGATCTTCCTTTTCACTCCGTTCTTATCGTTCGACCAGATACCCCAACATAGCCTTCCCCAGTATTTATGGCCTTCTGGGAGGGGTTGATTTTTGGTGTCAATGCTATCCAGAAGTCAGTACTTCATCAAAACATCCATTAACCAGGGGCTTACTCATGTTGGCGCCTCCACCTGGCGATGTCCTCAAGCATGGATTTTAATTGATTCTTGTGCCCCTCTCTTACAACCCTATAAATCCTAAGATGTGGAGATTCTTGTATGATTTTGATGTGTCGTAACAGTTGGTAATCCTCTTCTATCCCGTATTGCCGACAATTGTCGAGTTCAACGAAGTCACCTTTCTCCAGTCCTAATTCTGTAACAGTGATGTTCTTGTCTCGCTCTTGTAGCTTTTGTAAGAAATTTCTGGCGCCATTATAGTTTTCTCCTACCCAGAGAAAATCCAAGGAGTTCATAAACGGTTCAGCTCTCATCGTGAACATTTGAAGATCATTGAGATCTGAGAGGATGCGTGCTATGGCTTTCCATTCGTCATTGCCGGTAACACCGTTAGGATACGGAGCGCGTCTCAGCCTGTCGTAGAGGATTGAATGCTTGTTTTTGTCGAGTAACTCTTTCCACGTTGCAATACTCGTCCAGCTTTCATCTATAGACCACGGGTAGACCACCATTTGGTGATTGGATATGTATCCTGAGAGGCTGTTAAATAGCTGGTAGTGTAAGTTAACTTAACTTAGTGGGGACTGAATTAATAACCCACCTAACTATTAATAACTCAAGTTAATAACTTAAGACGTCAAATGGTAATTATTAGATCCTTCCTAACGCACAACATACTGCGAAAGCCTACCATAGGCGTGGCGACAATGTAGCCCAAGCAATAGCGAGCTTCCTCTCTGAGGAGTATATGGAGTGTTACGAGCAATGGCGCGACAAAGCGGCACTTGACACACTCGTCAATTCTGGGGAGCTTCCGCACCCTGAACAATTAAGGCAAAGCCCTATAAATAAGTCAATAGAATTGGGTTTTAGGTACAGTCTGGGACAAAAAAGCCTTCCGCTTTTGCAAGCATTCCTTTGCTTACCAGTTACGAATATTGTTAATGGGTACATGGATCTCAGGCCAAATTACGAGGTTGCATAAGTAATAAGTATCCTGCTATTTTTATTGGCCAGCAGGGACAGTGCGACCCAAAAGTTGCGGTACCAGGAGGACACCTCCACCAGTTGGTCCCTGCATTGGGGCGATTGACTCATTGAGCCAACGGTTCCTGGCTAGTGATAAGTACACTGTGTGGAAATTAGAAGAATTGACACTGTCTGCGTCACACCTCTTTTTTTTAATTGGTTTGCAAAAGCGGAAGGCTTTTTTGTCCCACACTGTAGTAGACCAGACAGAAACGCGCCATGCAAGGCTGTCCAAGCCTTCTTTCTACTGGAGGTCATCTGCCAGCCCCCGTCGCCATTGTTTCAATGGTAAATGTGTTGGAATTCTTCGCAGCATCAGTGTTCATGTGAAATCCCATAGTTTCCCGACTCCGCTCCACCTGACAGAACACACAATAAACATAGCCCATTGCTGTTCTTCAGATTTTCTAGCTTTCCACGTCTGTCGCTGCCGTACTGTGGAACAGTATGCTTATATCCGAATTTGCACACAGCACTCTCTTCCAAAGGAACAGGTTCAGGCATCCCTCCTGCTTGGTCCAGTGCGTCAGAGAGGCAAGCTAATCCAACGGGCCAAAGGCTTTCCAGTAACTGCACGTATGCGAATGCATATTTGCTGGACCATCCGCACTTGTGGCAACAACCACCAGTATTAACCCCGCTAAGGAGTATCTGGGCTAGTTGTAATCTGGCGGAGTTTCTTTCTTCTTCTAACATGCCTAACCATTGGTCAGTTGTTTTGGGATATGGTAAACCTTTTGTTGCAGGTGCTTACAGAATACCTTCCAGTTTATGAAAGGGTCTAGATCCTGGCTCCATATAGAAATGTAAGACCCACTGTAGTTGAGTATTAATTCTTTGGTGATGGCCTTGAATGCCCGCGCATTCCGGAATAGAAGCGCTGCAGCGGTAAGCCGTATTAGCTCATCAAAACCCTTCCCGTGGGGATGAAGCCAGGTGCCGCTCGCAAATCGAAATGCATCAAGGAAGTCGTATTGTCCGCCATGACAGCCACCCCTAGAACATCGTCCGCCGCCATAATTCAGGCACCATCTTGTTTTGATGGTGTGCAACAGCGCAGATGTACTTCAGGCCCACCACATTGTCTTCTGGCAAGGGCAACTTCACTGGCTCTTCCATGTCAGTCATGTCGCAGCCTTCCTTGAAGTCCACTCCCAACATGGCCGAAAAGGGGTTTGAGGCTGCCTTCAGGATCAGTGAATGGACACGTATGCTGCACTTTTTCTGTCCAACAACTAGAACGACATCACCATCTGGGGCAATATCAATCATCGTTCCGGGATTGTTGTCAATGATTTCTTCCATGACAACAACTTGATAGAGTTGTTCTTATGGATATTTTGGCAACTCGTGTATCAAGAGGCACGGGGGCGAATTCCGAGTAGCGTATGCTAGAGTGAGTCTAGGGGGGTTGTTGGCAGACAAGCGAAGTATATTCCGACCTTCCCGAGGCTTAAAGTGAAAATCTGGAAATCGCTCTTATATAAGTACGTATATTCTACCTACTGGGTGCAATCCGGGGTGCGTGCACATGTCCGCACTAAGTAGGTAGCTCTAGGTTAACTATGGCACCCTGGAAGAAAGAATGAGGCGGTGGTAGGACTTTATACTGATTCCGAAGGCTTGTGAGATGGCATTAGGCAACAGTATCTGTTGTGGAGGTACATACGGGTTCTGACGCTAAACTACTTTTAGACTTCTTGTGGGTCACCTTATTTATCTTATGTACCAATACCGCGACACCCATTAAGCCTTCTACTGTATTATTTCAGCCATTGCTAAATTATATATCCTACCTCAAGATATAAGGATCTGAATGGCCGTGCTACTGTAGCTATATGATTTAGCTTCTGGGAGGAGCCCAAGACTTGCCAGCTTCACACCCAACAGACCAGTCAACAGCTTATCGCCTCTGCTGCCATCCAGTCCGCATTTGCTTCTAGTAAGCGTTTGAGGCCGGGCTCTCTTATCCTGACTCCATATTTGACATCGAACTTGTCTAATAGGGTTTTCAATTGACCGGCATCATAGTTGAACCATTCCTTCATCTTCTGAACTTTCAACTCGGCCTTCTCACCGTCCATCTCTTCCACAGTTTCTTCTCCATTCTTCAATAACGCTCTCTCTTTTTTGACGATTTTTTCGGCGTTTGCTTTGTTGCCATATATCTTGTGTATCTCGGGCTTCTTTGCATTTTTATCATAAGAGATGTTACAATCGTCATACAGTTCCTTCAATCGGGCCACAGTGTACCCCTTCCATTTCTTACGAAACTCAGCTAGATCCTTCTGCGTAACCACGTCCCCCTCTCTGCCTTGAGACGCGGTTTTGGGGGGGTTCTTGGTAGCTGCGGCCTTTCCCTTGGTAACCCTGGTTGAGCTCCTAGGCGTGGTAGGCCTTGTTGAAGGAGTACTTTTTGGGGGTCCGGACTTGGAAGGCACATTGTCGGAGTAGGATTCTAATGCCTTGAGCATTGAGTCTGACAGGTCAGTTTCAGCCCAACCCTTTTCCAAGGCGGTTGCGATGACGCGGATGACAGAGGCAAGACTCGTTTTACGGACAACCAGCGCTGTGGATCTCGACATTTACTTTGCCACCAGGTGTTTGTAGGGAACTTTATATTCATGATTGGCGTATAATTGGCAGAGCCGTTGGTGCCAATAATACGCACACCCGCAAAGCGTCTATTTTCAGTTTCGAAGGTGTTATATGTATGCTTGATGGGAGCTAACTCGACCAGCCATGCCAAACCACAGCCAGCTTAGAGTTTTTTTCTTGCTCATCATCATTGCAATGGCTTCTACCTGCAAGGCTTCGATAAGCTCATCTTACACAACTCAAGTTCATACAGCTTTTCAAAAGTTTTGTGAAGATCGTCCCATTGCCGAGAGGGCGACAGTAGACGACATTCTTTACGCAGGTAATCTCGGCGCGAACGGTGATTATGGGTGCAATTTGATGCTGGTGGACGACAGCATTGCGAACCAATACCAGTACATAATCAACATGACGAATTCGGCATCGAAAAGCCAAGTCTGCGTCTGCTGGTTGAAAATAGGACCAAACGGCGGCGTTGGAGGCTTTTTCCTGGGGAACGAAGTTCTCGATTTTACCCTGCCTCCAGGAGGACATAGTGTGCTTGCTGCGGACCAAAACACTATCGGCGGATGTACCTGCAGTCTAGGTGCCGCTGTCCAACTGACCGGGATCAAGCAGTTTGCCTCTACATGGTTGGAGTTCGAAATGGCCACGAAGCATGATGGATGGTCTGGAGCTGATGCCTCGTGTCTTGTTGCAGCAAAGAGCGGGCTCGATATCCCGGGACTACAGGTTTGTTCTCAGTACAATGTATGCTCTACGGTTTATGCCGGCGGGACTGGAGACAATGCGTATCTACAAGGCATGGAGGACGTGGATGGCATTGGCATCGTCCAACAACCTGGTGAGGTACGATTGAGGGCAATCTTCGGTTACCAAACGTGAATGTCGATGGAAGATCCCTTTCCCAACAGGTAGAGTAAAGTATTCATGTATTAATAGAAGTTTTTAAATAATAAATAGCACAAAATATTTAATCATGAATTGGTAAATGATCGCATCCGCCACACACAGCATGGTCACCACGTTTCGGAGGCCGCTATCTGGTTCAAATGGGCGGTTAACCTTTGTGGGACTACAGTGGCTCTTCGTACATATTCACCCGCCGGTAGTTCGCGGCGAGCAACAACGGAGAACAAGTCGTGCCATTGGTTTCGTTGACACCGATGTGCGGCATGCGTGGTGCTTAACCCGGATGGTCGGCTTTTCTGTTGGCAACCGCTATTTTCGCTAACATGGACATCCTCTTCTCGAAGTACTTAGATACAAATACCCGACATAAACTTTGCAAGCCTCGTCACTCGTTATATATTGATTCATGTCCTTGCGCGAGTCAAACTCTCGTGTCGTTCAGCAGTAGATATGAAAAAAACCGGGTCTTCTATGTTCAAAGCAATCTCGCAAATACCTATTTTATGCACTAAAACCTCAGGCAGAGAAACATGACGTGGGCCCGCTCCATGCAAGTTACAGTTTGGGTTCATATTTTGTAGTAATAACTGATCAATCATCCTCGCGCATTTATACGATGAAGAGGCGTAAAGTCTAGATGTTCTTACCCCTGCCTCGGTTGATTTAAGACCATAAGTATTAGAAATATTTCTGAATGCGTATGAAGTGGCTACTGTAACTAGCCGCAGTGTTAATATATATATATATATATATTTGGGGCATGTCGTAGTGTGCATATGAAGTACGATTAACAATGTCCATTGTATTGTCACGGCGAATCAAACTTTACTAAGTCTGCATCTGTGCGCATTGTGCTCGGTACAATTATTGAGTGACCGTGTCATTTTCTTGAAGTACAGGAACTAATCGAGCTTCAACTTTATAACCAAAATACAGAACGTCTTCCTCAACTATCGTGACATGTGCATGTGTGCGCCGATTGGCTGGTCGGATTGGCTGTTGTACCCATACTGATCGGGCCGGTCGCCGAACCATTCCCTTGAGTCCCTGCCGCGTTTGTAGGGGTAGCACTGTCCCTTGGAGCCGTGGTTTGTTGGGCGGGATTGGTGCTGAATGGAACGGGATCTGTGCTATGTGTCATGGTTGGGACATCACCACCACCAGGACTAGTCGGCCGAGTTCCCTCTGGGCCGCCAATTATGGTAGAGGTCGGAATGGGTTCCTGCGTTGTAGCCGGTACCGTTGGAGGTGCACTAGGAGGTCCGGTTGGCGCTCCGGTTGTCGCTCCGGTTGAAGAGCCCGTCGCAGTAACGCCGCCTAGTGTCGTAGCAGTCGAGCCATCAGTGGGAACGCCGGTGGTAACGGATGTCCCTGCTGAAGCTGTAGGTATACCAGCGCCTAATTTGACAAGTTAGATTCCATCACCAAGCTTACGGACGGGGACGCACATGTACCTGACGGCGTGTTGGACGCATGACTACATGTCTGGCTAATGGCGGCCGTAGATATCGGAGCTCCCGCGGTGGCAGGATCACCTATGTTGACTATGCGGCAGTAGTTATCTTCTCCTCCACAGTTCCAAGTGATCTTGGCTTGCCCCGTGGATATATTGCTCGGAAGCGATATATATTGAAGCGGAAAACCATCACAAGGTACATTACCATTGGTGAGTGTGACTCCCGGAAGAGAGGAATTATCCGCAAGCAGAAAAATATCAACTGTGGTGCAGCTTACATTGGCGGTTGGGCTGAAGATCTCAACTTTCCCGCCTCGTTCAAGCTTCACAACGTCTCTTGGGCAGTGGTACTTTTCGTCGTCATCACTATCTGATTGATGACAATGAGCGGCAGAGGCCGCGAGCAACAAGCAACACAAGGTAGGTTTGCCAAAGAACATGTTGTTCGAGTGGGTTGATGATGTCCTCCATGATATAGGGCATTTGATGCATTATTCCTAGCTCTTATTTCACACAATGAGGATTGCCTTATCTTAGACGGTGTTCTATCAATGCACCCGGCCCGTTGTGTAGCGCGACTAAGTGGCCAATCCACGTAACCAGCCGATGACGGTACATGTACATACGACGAGACAAGATGGCAAAGCGATTTTGTCAGCAAGTAGACCTGAAGCGGTCTATATTGGGAGCTGGGCTTGGATAAAAAGGTAGCACGGTCAGATCTAAAGCAGGCATGGGCAGAAGAAAGATCGAAATTAAGAAAGTCGAAAACTTGAGAAACCGCAATGCTACGTTCAAAAAGAGGAGGCAGGGAATTCTGAAGAAGGCACATGAGCTGGCTGTCTTGACAGACACCAAGGTGACTCTGTCCATCAAGAACGGGGACGCTCTCGAGAACCATGTTTTCAACGAGCAGCTACAATCCCTCCCGACAAGCGCAATCGCGGTCGGTGGCAGCACCACGCCTGCGCCGACGGCGGAAGCGGTAGACAGTCCTCCGCTAGATGACGATGTCATAGAGGATGTTGTAGTCGCACGGCCTCCTCCAGAACCGTCTCCGCACTGGCACCTCGATTCAGCAGATGCGAGCTTTGGTTGTGATCAAATCATAGACTCCATATTGGATCCCCTAGCCTTGAGTGCAACGAACCAGCTTGGCATGTATAACCCAGGATTCAATAACTTTAACGCGTCGAGGACCGCGCTGGAAATATTTAGCCATCCGCTACTTTCAGATTCGCCAAATGAGTCTTTCCTAGGCGTGGAGGCTCATGACGATTGTAACTGGCTGATGCCGTTGTTGGAAATTAACCCGGGCTTCGCCAGCCCTGTGATGGCATAGCTGGGCACGGAGGCTCCTCCAAGGTCAGTCGCCAATCATTAACCCCACCCCCAGAGTTCCTTCATGGCCGAAACAACCTTCATAACTGTCATATTAACGGCGCCTCGTTGGGGCTTGACTGGAGTAGAGCGACGCACTTCATGGAAGTCGGTTCTGTGGTTCACATCAAGACTGTCTGCTATCATCACGATGCTTCCTTGGTGTCATAGTTGTTAATCATATCGTTCGTCATGACTCCGAACTAAGTACATATAATGCAATTGACAGGGGAAAGCTATATTTCACCATAACTCCAGCTGGTTGCTTCACCGGGGAACTCGGCCTTGTATGCTTCGTCGGCCTCCCTTAAAAGACGGAAAAAGAAATTCAGGTCTTCCCGGATTATGGGAGCAGCCGCCACGCCGGAGGAATCGGGCATTGAGACGAGCTCTAACGTCCTGTTGCATCTGGGGCATGCAAAGCCTTCCTCGCCAGCTGGGTAGTAAAGCTTGTTCATAGCCAATTTGACTTCGCAGTTTCGACACTCCATGGCCTGTTCTTCCATGGGGTCCTTTTTCGCGTCTAAAATCTTCTCGATCCCCTTCAAACGAGCGCCGACCGCAAACATGGCCGTTTTAAAGTCAATGTAGTAGCGTGGCTTGCCACTTGCTTCGTGGATTTGCCTGTGGCGCGTCAAAACGAGATGAAAATATAGCGAAGACGCAAAGCAAGGTAAAAAGGAAGCAAACCATTATCGACCAAAGCACAAGATTATACATACGATGAGATGAGAAATTCGGAACAAAGATCGTCACACTTCTTGCTTAGTTCGACCTGGGGGAGGCGGAGATGGTCTGCCATCTCTCTGGCAGTCAATCTTTGATCATTGTTATCAAGCTGTATCCTTCAAGTGGGGGATGGGGGGTTGACCCGAAGGGACGGACCTTTTGTAACGGATAAGTAATTCGACAATGACCACATGCTCGGTTTGGTAGAGAGCACGCACAATGCACCTCAGCATGACATTTACCGGGTGCATGCTGACCTGTTGTCTTGAATCTGACCGTTCTTTTCTGAGACTTTGTTTGTACCAGTACTATACTTATTAGATCCGATTCACGTAAATGGTGAAAGCGAGTGATTGGGCATCTTTAAATGTGAATGGGATGTTAGTATTTCATGAGTAAAGTGGATGGGCGGCACATGTTATAAGCTGTATCCGCGAACTTGTCAGCCGGTCCAGCATTCACTCTCTGCAATTCAATGTGCCAGTCCTTGGCCAGTGGCGCGTACATATAAGTGGGATTTCTGAGCACTTAACACAGCACATGACCAGTACAACGGCGTCCCTCGCACCATCTCGCACGGGCGATGAAACAATGTCAACAACAAAGAACCACCCAGCGTGTGAGCAGCAAAGCAACACAACAGACGACAAAACAATTGACCCACGACGCCTCATAATTTCTAGTTTTACGGCCCAGGAAACAACGTTAGTATCAGTGCCTCACACCATCGTTGCCGAGTGTGAAAAGCCTAGCAGGTGGCCATTGAAAGGCGACGAAGATCCGCCTCTCCCACAGATTAATGGCGGAGCGACTCTTCGGCAAGCTGGCCGTGCGACACAGAGATAAGCGGCATGTGGAAAGTGCGTGTTACGGCCGGACGACACTTTGGCAGGGATGGAGATTGTGAAGAGGTACTTTGAGGAAGCGAAGCAGTGGCGAGAGGGCGAGAGTGAACATGGCACCGACGTGTCCGATTGGCAACTGCCATAGCAAATGTTACATCAGCATACGCCTAAATAGTGGAAAGACTAAAAATATTCATGATAATGATGATCAAACGTACGGTAAGGGTACGTACAAAAGTACAATACCTTCTGTCCCCTTGTACGGTATGTACATACTTGTTAATGATTGTGGAGTTGACGACTTGATTTGACACCACAGTGGGAGAAGCCCTGTGTGGCAAATAATGCATGATCTTTGAGGAGCCACATGAAACTACATGTTAATAATCCACCTGTGTACTTAAACCATATGCGGGACCCCGCACCTAACAACTTCAATCAATAACACAACTTTTTCTTACTCATTTAAGCACGTAAAAAGTGCGACACCCTGCTAAATATACTGACCAGTATACATTGTACAGTGTGGCTGTGTACATTGAGTCCCTAACATTCCAACAATACTGTACATGTATTATACCGTATGTACCAGAATGAATGAATAGAAGCGACCTGGTTCCGTAAATATCCGTCTGCAACAATTTGTGGCTAACTGGCGACCACCCAGCCACTTCACGCCCGCCTGGTATTGACACATCGAGCTCTCATGAGGGGCCGCTACACTGACGAACGACTTTTGACAGCCGCCAATCTGGTTGTAGTTGGAAAAGGATTTGTGGCTAACTGGCGACCACCCAGCCACTTCACGCCCGCCTGGTATTGACACATCGAGCTCTCATGAGGGGCCGCTACACTGACGAACGACTTTTGACAGCCGCCAATCTGGTTGTGGTTGGAGAAGTCCGGTTCCGTAAATATCCGTCTGCAGCGCTTTGTGGCTAACTGGCGACCACCCAGCCACTTCACGCCCGCCTGGTATTGACACATCGAGCTCTCATGAGGGGCCGCTACACTGACGAACGACTTTTGACAGCCGCCAATCTGGTTGTAGTTGGAAAAGGGTCGAGTGGAACATATTCATAATGCAGCATCATGATCTAATATTCCCTTGTGGAACAGTGCCGCTGCCGTAAGCACCGCAAGTGCCTTACTCCATCTAGGAGGATGTCTCGGTTGAAAAGAGGAGAGCATCCCCTCCGTTGATAGCAAAAACAACCCATAGGAAGAGAAATTATTGTCGGACGACTCTCACCGATATCCCATCTTCTTCCGCAGCAAAATTTGATACGCGTCCTTTTCCTGCAGAAAATGTTGTTAATAGAAACTCAAAACGTTTGCGAATGCTGTGGCAGGAATCGCACCGTTTACCGAGAGACATGTGAGTTCTCTGGGATGTTGAGCAGTTGGCTGTGCCGCAAAACGAACCTCAAGGTCAGCGTACAGGAGATAAGGTACGACAAGTGCAGGCGTTGCCGTCGAGGGCCCAAGTATGCAGAGCTTCCGGCGGATCCACCGAGGAAGAGAACAGGACAACACAAGCCCAAACCACCAAGCTGGAAGCAAATACGTCAAGAAATGTTCATTTGAGTGGGGGTTGGTTTCGCCCATACGTCTGAGAAAATTGTTGCAGCTTGCCGCGGTGCTTCTTCTGTGTCCTTCGGTCAGCCCAAGGGCAAGATAACCGAAGTCAGCGGGATGCAGGGTTCATTCAGCTTTTTAGGCAAACATAGCGAATACATCACGTTCATCATCACTTCTCCATAAGTTCCCACGTAAATGAGACGGCTAAAGCGAGAGATTGCAAATCATGTAGTTCAGCCGGTCCACACGTTGTCGCCTCCACCAAATACGCACATGAGCACTAAGCAGCCACAGGTTCAAGAAAAGACAACAACATAGGATAAATTCAAATTAAACCACAGGCTAACCTGTTAACGTAGTACTTCTTAAGTAGAACATACATTGGACTGCTCGTAGAGGCCGCAACGCGGGAATAGTTGATGCAACCCGCACAGGTATTGAACAAAAAGATTTGCATGCATACGACTCGCATGACCCGTCAAACAACCACAATGTCCTGAACCATACGAGCTCGGGTTCCCATTATCGCATTCTCTCGCCTAAGACGAATTTTTTTCAGTCGGGTGGGATGCGTGAGAGGGCGGCGGACAGCCAAACTAACGGCTTGGAGTTCCTCATCTGAGACCCTCAAATTCCAACCCAGTAACTTCAACATCGCCCTCTCTGTTCTGTCCATTTCCTCCTTTGATATGCAGAGACCTCGACCCCAGTCCATATTCGTGTAGCTACTGTCCCGTAAGTACTTGTGGGCAACAACAATAGCCGCCAATGCCAGGCGATGTGAGGTGCATCGCTGTATTCCCCTTGGCCTTCGTCGTGAATGATGCAGCCGGTCCAGATAAGCCGATGCGTAGAGCAACTCCGGAGATTCCAGGCGAAATAATCTCACCAGCCATGGTATGTAATCTTCCAGTGGAGGTGGCGAGCAGCGACATTGCAGCTGGTCTCCTTTGCTGTGTCTGAACCCCCGAACGAGTCGGTTTAAATGGGTGATTACGGTGTCGACTGGCAGTGACATGTTGAAGTCTTCAGATTGTTCGATCAAAAATCTCTGACAATCTACATGTGCTACCGCGCCCTGGTTATATATCTTTCGATCAAAAATCTCTGACAATCAACATGTGCTAACGCGCCCTGGTTATATATGCAGAGACAGAAATCACGCAGATCTTGGAGCACGAGACCTCGACGAAAGTTTGACATGCAATTGTGGGAGGAACTACGTTTCATCCCGGAAAATCGGGTTTTACCTAACAAACCCGCATACACGAACTACCTCGCAGCGGCACATAGTGAGCGGCTCGTAAATATGGAGCTCCAAAACGATTGTATCTAATCCTGAAACGACAAATCCCAACGGTCACACACCAACACATAAAGCGTGCGATACAAACATAGCTATTAATACGAATGAGCAGTTGCTATCCTCACCTAAACGACAAATCCCAACGGTCACACAACAATACATAAAGCGTGCATTACAAACATAGCTACGAATGAGCACTAAAATATTAATAGCACCATAAGGCATGATCATAGATATAAAACCAATAGCACTCTTCTGTAAGAATATGATCATAGATATAAAACCAATACCACTCTTCTGTAACAATTTCCGGCACAATAATCATGAAGACGTCGCGCAATTGGCCGATCACGCCCAGCACCTCAGTTTGGCTACTAATTCTCATCGCAATCTTGCATATTCTTGAAGATCTAGTCAAAAGCACAGTTCGTATAATTAAAGTCTTGGCCATTGCAATCCTTATTCTTTTGAGAGTCAAAGCCAATCGCTCGGGCACGACGTATCTTTACAAGGGTCTCAATCTCCTCTTCGCAGCCAGTCGTCCCACCACGGCGGCTGGTACGAAGACGGTACCTGAGACCTCTCTTGAGCTATCACTATGGCTTGCAATGGCAAAGCGAGCCAGAGACACAGCCTCCTACGCTTTCAGTCGTCTTTTGGATTCTGCAAAAGCGGACTTCCTCGGTGCCGACGGCGAAGCACCTTCACAGGAAGGATCACAGGATGCCGCAACCAATGGGTTCCAAGCAGCAGCGGAGCCAGAGCAGTAACATGTAGAAATATACATGGGTAAAAGATCACAAGAAAATATCACACATGTCCAGAGGTTACATGACCATTGTTTTCAAATAATCGGGAGTTTGGAGAAGCATCAAAGGGGGAGGGGGGGCGTCTACCTGGCCTGTTGCTCGTATTCCTCATATGACTCCACAGGAGATCAGCTCTGTCAGGGACTAAATTGACGGAATTGGACGGATTTCCAGTGGCCGCAAATAGTTTGTATGTCAGCATAGATCAACGAATGATCAAAGAGATGCCACACATCACATGGTTTTACATACTGCGGCTCGTATCGGCAGAATCAAAGGGAAGTTATCACGTATCCCCTGCTCATAACGACAGTGCTTCACAAGTGACCAAAGCAACCTACCCTGAAACAATGAGCCCAAGTTGTAGTCCAGTTGACCCATTCCAAACTTTATGACCAACCCAATCTGGTAATGGACTGTGACAAGTGGCCATACTACAGAGTGAGTGCCGCCAAGGGGATGACTACAATGAGCAGCCTAGAACCTCATAAGGCGACAAATCAAAGGGATGCGAATGTTTCAGAATATCTCAAACAATTCAGGGGAAAGATTTCAAACACCTCTGCTTTTGTCTTAGGTTTATTTAAAGCTGCGGTGTCGAAGCCATAATGAAGGAAAACAAACAAGATGTCTGCATCCGAAAGTAAAGCTGCCGAACTAGAGCGAGCACAGAAATTGAGAAGAGAAAAGAACCGGATGGCACAGCAAAAGCACCGAGAGAAGAGGAAGAAGGACATAGAAAAGAAGACAAAGGACGTCGCAAAGATGATGACGATACTCCAGAAGGTGAAGCTCGCTGTCACCCTCAACGACATCGGGCAGATCAAGGAACTTGTGAAGAGCCCGACAATACCGTTACCAGTCGAATCGTCCTCTGTGAGCACATCGCGCGAGAAAACGCCTTACATCGATGTGGAAAAGCTCTTTCCCGCCGCAGATGACTCTTCATCTTCACAACCCTCTGTCGAGGTCGAGGCCACAAGGACTGTGGAGAACGCCGTTGTCGAACAAGAACTTGCTCAACCGTCGTATCCAAAGGATGACAGCAGCAGCCTGATCACACAAAACAGTTTGGATACACAACCCAGCTTGAGCGCACAAAGCAGTCTCGGCACACAAAGCAACCTGGGCACACAAAACGGTCTGGCCACACAAAGTTTCTTTCAGCCCACCATGGACCCATTTTTCTGGAACATGGCAAATATGTTTCCATCTTTTCAGATGCCGTATTTTGACACTCAATCTCCACTACATTTACTGCCTCCTATTGCCATGCCGAATCCTTGGGAGACTCCTTGGGAGGGTTACCCTGCGATAATGGCCGGGATGTAGAGCATCAGGATTGACGGTCGGATTCATCATAAATAAATTCAAGCTGAGACATTTCTTTGTGATGGATTGATTCATTCACGAAGCCATTTCTTAGATATTTTGCCTTTCATTCAAAGCGTAACTCTAATAACTAGGGTTTGTATTGGGACCCCCGTTATATTTGAGGATCGAGATACCAGGATACAACAACGGCGTGCGTCAATGAAGTTTTTGATTAAGCGACAAGGGCTTTCTGTTTTTGTTTGTATTTTAATTTGTTTGCGGTGGCACCGAGGGAAGTTCGTTTGTGGCCAGATGCATTCCATATTCTGCGATTTGCGGCGACCTTGAGGAGACCAGAAAGGAATGCCAAATGTATGATATATTGCAAGCGTATTTTTATTTAAGTTTTCGGCTGGACAGAACACCTGATAATAAATTCGTCGCCATTTTGATGGCGTCAGTTTGTATCCAATACATGATTGGCAGAAAACAATGGCCCTCATCTAATGCCCGATTTGCAGGGAGGCGCAAAGCTAAGCTTGTTCGCTAACCAAATAAAAGGGTGGACTCTTCTTAGTTGCCGGACGCCTTCCGCGGAATGGACTCCAGCAATCTTTTGACCTGTGCAACCATGCCCTCTTGTTTCGATCCCGAATCCGTTTCATATTGACAAGCCGCGCCTTCTTGAGATTGTGAGTCGGGCGACGTCGCTATCTTTTTGTACTTGACATTCTTTGTAAAGCCCCACATCCTTCGTGTATCACACTATCACACAGACGCTGGAAACACCAGAATATATATCAGATTTTGCCCACACAGCGTGTCGGTCACTTTTTGCCGCTTAAGGAGCCATCCCCAGTATAGCAGCCGCACCCATCTGTAATGAAATGTCAACTCGCCGTCGTCAGAAATGAGTGTTGAATAGCCATCTTGGGAGCATGCATATATAGCAGTGCGTTTAGGAAATGACACGCGGCGGTAAGTCTCCATTCGCGGTGATACCTGTTTGTATCTCCATTACCTGAAAGACGTCTTACCAAAGATTATTCCGTGCTCTGGAAGGCAGAACAAATGTGATGTGCCCGTACAGAGCCATTTTCAGCTCTGTGGTGCTGTCTAGTCTACATTTTCCAACGTGTACTGTATGTATTACGGGTGATCAGTGCAACAGTTCCGTAGTCAACATGGGCCCTAGATACTACGTGCAGCCAAGAAAGCTTTGCCACCTGCGAATAGGCCTACAACAGACAACTTGCTGTACTAATATTATGTTACCAGCAATGCAGGCAGCCAAGTATATACAGTGTCGTAGTAGGTATAACTTGTTTCCCGATCCGTCCATGCCTCCGGTACACATTTTCCAGCCACGAGATGACCAGGACTTCAAATGACGAAGACGGTGATGAATTCTTGATTGAACCAACATGCAGAGCCCTGGTTAATTTCTTGGAATATGCCACTCTTCGTGCGTGTGGTGGGTTGTATTTCACCCCTACCCCAGGTGCAACCTCTTTACGATCTTTCATAGCGCGAATACTGCACCACTCCAAAACGCGATTAAACGTCATGCTGGCTCTCCCTGTATACCTTGGGCGGCTTGGCTGGTCTCTGGAGCCGGGAATGAGCGTTCCCAGCAGTACGCCTTACGAAGCTTTTTTCGGCTGTCTGGTTCTCACAACAAAATACCTGATGGATGTGCCACGCGACAGTTCGTTCTGGGTATACTGCCTGATGTGCTCTTGCAACAACCTGTTTTTCACAGAGCGAGGCATCCTTGAATTGGAACTTGAGATTTTGAAGCGTTTCCAATGGCGTGCCGACATTCATGAACACCATTTGCTTCCAGAGCTTGATCTGTTCCTGGAATTCCTTGCCGCGGCCATGAAGCAGGCGCTCGTTCATCCGTCGGATCCTGCTTTGCGAGGGCTGCCAGAAGAAACGGAGCACCGAATGAGATGGATCGAGGCTTTCATTGGACACATTACAGAAACGTGCCTGAATCACCCCTGCGTCCTGTGCACAGACACAGAATGAGTCACCACTGACTTAGATCTGGTGACCGACTTCTTGCTGCGGGCACCGCACGGTCACACCAGCAGTGATCGAGACCTTCTTGTCACATCAGAGCCAAAGCCGTCTCAAATGCTGACTACGCTATCGCTTACCACAGCATCCACAGGGCCGTGCTGAGCTCCGTATGTGGCATTCGCCATCACATAATTCTCTTTACAGCCTGCAATGACATGGCGGCTCATAATCAACATCAACATCAATGGAAGGTATGGCATGGCACGCTATGTATATATTCCACTTGGCTACGTTTAGCTCTGGAGCGGTGAAGTTGATGAGCCGTGCGCCAAAGCACTCTATCACCGCCAAGGACGCGCACCTGTCGACACTTGTAGAAGCATGGATTCACAGTGGGGTTGGGTCTGCCACTTGTGCCACGCAAGATATCGATTTTCTGCAACAAGACGCTGTCTAAACGACGGTCACATATTCTGCCTGAACAGCGCCCCCAGAGGTGAAGCCTGCAGAGACATTTTCGGAGCCAGAGGAATAACTCTCGGCAAGGAGGTAGATATTGGTGATTGTTGGAGAGACTGCGAGTACCCGTTCCAGTGCAAGGAAAAGAAGACAGGCATACTTTGGGTGCTGCAGTCGGTCAGCACAAACTAACATTGCCCGCTTCTCTGCGAATGGATGCCCACGAGTCGCAAGCCACAGGCCATACCATTCCATCGCGAATATTCACCATGACCAGCCCGACACTTTACCTGCTGGTACAGTATGCGTGGATACAATGAACATAAACAATTAACTGGTTCACTTCCTTGCTATTGGTCACAGCACCGTACAAAAGTATATACACCGATGAGTTACCTCGGCAAGTCCGGTTTTTCAGCATCCGCGCCGTTTCACCCAGCTAAACGCCTCCCAATGGAGGTCAAGCACAGGAAGAACCGCGTGGCACTGATCTCTGAGATTTGGGAACGCTGAGTGCGATTTCGGAGATCATACCTTTGTCACTAAATATCCTTGAACAGGCGTTGCACTTTTGGGTACGAAGATTCGGGCGGCTTAGAAACTGGCAGCGGGGCTACCATGCTGAGGGTGGAGGAGTTGGCGTGTTTTGCATCAAAATTAGATTACCTTTAGCTACCCAAACAAACCCGAGAGTGACGACTCATACGTAAAATACAGGCCAGATGTTTGTCATATCCCCAA